AAACTGAATCATACACAAAGTTCATTCCAAGCTGGTTATATCAGCAGTTTCACGCAGACAATGCAATTATCTGTCTGAGCTTCTTAGACGTTTGTTTCAAGCAAAGCAGTGGGGCAGTTCGAACGACAGCTTTAACACTGGACGAAGAGCCACTGTACAAATAAAAGCCACAGGATATTTAAGGCTGGAAAAATATCTGGGTCCCCGCCAGATCTAAGTTTAGGTCTTAGGAGCGTGTGAGAGGTCGAGAACAAGTCTTCAGTGAGGCAGCAAGAACCTGACATCTGACCCATGTGAGCTCCCAGTCAGACGAGGTTAGAGACGAGCTACTGCTAATACAGCATGTCAGGGTCAGCATGTCTGTGTTTGTTTAAGGACAGAAGATCTTCAGGAATATCAAAGATCTGTAGATTATCCTGAAGCATTAATTCTCTAAGACACACTGCAGGGTCTAAAAAGTAAATTCGGACAAAATTTTGCTTAATTTTCAAACTATGACATGACTATTTAGCTACAACAAAATTAAAAGAATTAGCAACAAATGATTTCCCCTCTCTGGATGTGCTTCCAACGAGCTGCGATAGTTGGCATGATCAGACGGACAACATTCACACTCACACACAGAAAGAATTGTACTGTTACAGACAAAGACGGAGATGAACAACACCATGGCCAGCACAAATCCTGAATGCATCTGTAGAGCACAAACAAACTATTGAGATTCAACTCAGAAATGAACAACAACATACAAAACCTGCTTGTTTTTTAAACTGCAAGGATTACAACAGCTGAAAACAAACTTAATTTACGAAGCAGGGTTTGGGTATTGACCATTACCCCAAGCTGGGAGCATTTCACAAGGTATTGGTCAATCCATCATCTAAAGTCGCAATCTGTGAAGAAACCTCTGGCTCAATCTGGATATTTTAAATCAGTATTGAAAATTAAGCCAGGACAAAATTATTAAATCTATTAGTCACCATGACAACAGCTATCTTAATAGTGCTGGCTATGCACGCCAGCATGGAGACCAGCTGGCGTGTTTAGCTGCCACTAGGAGCTATACGGTTGCCCACAATCCTTTGCATTAAAGTACATATAAAAAATTACCTCACAGAGTTTAAAGAAAAAGGTATTTTTTCTTCATATTTAGGCCTAGCCTTTGTGGCACAGGTAGAAACCTTCATATGTTTTAGGTTTATATTAGAGGGATTTAACCTTAAGTTACATTTGTGTAACCTTTGTTTTTGTAGTTTTTTCCTGGAAGGCTGTGGTCCTAATTTCAGAACTATCATACATCAGCTAGTGGGGTCAATAAGGAAGAAGGCTACCAGACCCTGGATAGTGTTCTTATAGTTGACAAAAAAAGTGAAGGGATAGGAAATAGAAAATGGAGGTAGGAGCTTCAATTTGAGGTATTGACTATCCTGTATATTTTGGTTCTTTCTGTGGTTATTACACCTGAATTACATTATGGTTCATTAGCAGGTTTCTGCAGACTGTTATAACATTCTAAGGAGGTAGCTGAATAATTTAAATCAGCTGTGTTGGAGAAGAGACATTTCTTTAACAGATAGGACCCTTAGTGACTGGAGTTTGACACCCATGGTTTAGAACAAAGAAAACTACAATGCTGAATTGACCCAAAGTTCATATTCATATTTACAGAAACTCTCAACCAATAGGAATAACACTTCGAAACCAAATCAGTTCAGTGTTTATAAATACCTTTGAAAGACATCATTATCTGAGTTTTTTGGTCACAGGAAGTGGTGCATGTGTTTCTTTTATTTGGCAGTTTAAATGACATTTTGTTGTCTCTCCCAGTGGCGGTGGACATAATTACTCATGACCATTTCCTGTTTCCCATCAACCATATCCCCTCTGAGGCCTGATCCTGTATCCTGTGGTGAAAATGCTTTTTTGGGGGGGAATTTATACACAATTAAAGAAGCTGCATTTTTGCCCAGTGGACCTCACAGGAGAGGAAGAAGAAAGAAAAGAGTGGAGAAAAGTATGCAGTAAGTGCTATTCCAGCAGACTTGTTAAAACCTGAACAGCAGAAATGTTAGTTCCCACTGAGCTGTAAAATTACACAAAGGATTTATTCCACCGCCTAAGTTAAATTTATACACCTGAGAGAAGGAGTGACATGTTCAATGGATATTAATTCTAGCTTCTGTATGAGATATACAGTTACATGTGTAAGCTTGTGCAGATGGGAGGAGTTTTTAAGAATACCACCTTGCTGTGCTGCAAGTAAAATAATAAATAAATAAATGCAGATTTAATTAGTGAATAAGATGGGGATTTCTGTGTAATCCCCATGGTTTTCTAATATAACAGCCTGTGGGCTGCTCTGCTCTGCCCATACAAAGACTCTCCCTGTTTGATAAACCCACCCATAGTTAGAGAAATGCAGTGGGAGGAACTAGTAGGTGTCAAAATGAATGGGTATATAGCACTGGCAATTTCTCATTAAATACTAGGGATGCCTGTAAATTTCATTAAATAATTGGTCAAATATGAATGCAGTCCTTTATCTTTTATAAAAACGTGTAAAAAAAAAAAAAAGGCTTGATTTATCAATATGTTGCACACTAATCAGCTGTTGAGCCATTGGACACAATTTCCCTTCTGCTCCAAAGTTGCAGGACGCTGCCTGTCAGTCTCTATGAGAAATTCCCATTGGGGTTGGAGGCTCTGTATATTGAGGCAAACAAGAAAGAAGGCCCTGATTGGACAACATGCGAAATACGCCACTTTCAGTGAGGCTAAACCTCTTAGGGGGAGTCAGGGTGGGTTGTGAAGCTGAATGCTCAATGCTGATTGGCAGAACTTTAGGATTTTTGACTGACAGTTAGCAGACAGCGAGGAGCTTTGACTCAAAGAAATGCAGGTGAGAGAGGAAAAAGCATTAGTTTAATAAGAACAGTCATCTTGTTTATTATTGTCTGGAGTTTATTCTTTCAAAGTGCTTCAAAACAGCAATTTTTTGCCATTTCATTAACACCATTGAGCCTCCCCTGTTTCAGAGAGCTAACACTTTTATACAGGCAAAAAAGGACATCTACTGTCAAAACTAACCAAGAAACTGCTAATTTTGACATTTAAGACTGGGAGGAGCCCACGCAATTTAAATGTGTCTTGATTATTTTTCTAACATTGCTTTATAAGGATTTTATCTTGTTAATTTTACTGACTTTGTAAAATGTAACTAAATACCGACAGCAAAATGCCAAGGAGATCATCAGACAGACATTCCTACATACCACCATAATGTCCTTAATTTAATATTCAGACAGAGAAGCACTTTTACAGCCCATGTCTGAGCAGTAAACAAGTTTATCATCAAAGAACAGTTAACAAAATTACAGCTTGATTAAATCTTTTTTTTTTTTTTTTCAAGAACCCATGATAGCTGGTTTGTGGCAGCCCCTTACAGGCCACAACATCTATAAAAACTCCAGAAACATCACTTTATTCTTTACTTTACTCTCATTTTACATAAACTTTAAAGTGAAGGCCTCTAAAGATAGTGTGCAAATAAAGGATCCATTTTAAGGTTGTGGTTCATATAACTTGATAATGCCCTGAGTTACATGTCATTCACTTTAAACTTTAAACTCGAAATATCCTGGACAAAAAAACGACAACAAAAACACTGGATTATAGTTTGGACCATGTCCTGAGTCAAATATGGACCAATCCAGGTTGATTTAAAAATATTGAATTAGGTTTTCAACCAAAAAAAAAGTGTCTTGCAAATGTTGTGAAATAATGATATATTGTACTGTATATTGCCTGGATTCTAAATAAGGAAAAGTTTGCTCAAAATAAATTACCCATTTATTTTCCATTCCAAATTACATGTTAAGGGTTAATTTTAGGATAAAGAATGTTATTAAGCATAGGTGTTCTTGGCCTTTTGAAGTGATCTGGATTTACCAAATAAATGCAAGAGGAGAACAAATTCTTTACGGATTAATGCTGCAATAACAATTGCAGTTCAGTATATTGCAGCTGTGCATCTTGTAATGCAGCGGAGGTACATTGAAATCCAATCAGGTTCTTTTGATAGTTGTAAATGACAGCCTATATTTCATGAAGCAGCTATTTTATTTTCTTCTTTAGCTCAACAAACTTTGTTACAATGTTTGATCCAGTGTTTGGTTTAAACTATCCTACAGCTAAGAAGCTTAATAAAAACCAAAAAGCGAGCTTGCATTACTCGGAGTCCCAGCATTGACTAGTGTATCTAATATTTGAAAACTCCCAGTAAGTCCAACTGTTACATAAAAGTTTAGATGATCTCATTTAAAACACAAAGGTGTGTTTATGAGAGACTGCACTTAAATGCACCATCAAGGAATCATCTTAGGCAAATTCGGACATCTATACAGATTACAATAACAAAGAGTTAAATTTATAACTGTAATTTGTACAACATTCCTAGTGACCATATGTGTAATTTCTCTCTAAAATCTGGAACAAGTAAAAGAGGCAAATTCCTTAGTTATATCCTCTGAGACGACAGGAACACAGCTTGTGTGAATTAGCAGAAATATTTCCAAACACTGCAACCATGTTCAAATCTTTCCCCTCCTTAATTCTAACTTAAACACACATTAACACATTCTAACACACTCCCTCACAATCACACGGGGAATTATGGGGCCATATGTGCAGCTGTGAACTGTGTGTGAGCCCCAGCTGAAAGGGGACACACTCAGGGAGAGATGGATGATATGTGGGGTTGTTTTTCTGTCTGCCATCTGTGAAGGCAGAGACCACACCAGCGTCAGTGTGACTCCTTTGTTAGACACAGAGAATCTTTAAGCTGCTCCTCTGTACATTTCACAGCCAGCCCAGAGCACAGCTGCATGCCTTGACAGTTGACAAAGAGATGCACGGAAAAAAACTCATTCTTATCCCTTTAAATTTAAGTGTGCAGGCTGATCTCTCTATCAAAGTCAACCAAACTGGTCAAAAGCAGTTACCTGTAAACTGAGGGCAATCTGACGGATGTACATCATATTGAGGTCCTCCAGTATCCAAAGTTTTTCCTCCATGTCTGCGTATTTATCAGTTGGCATCGTTTGGACAGGTTGCTACGATAATAGGAAAGTAAGCTTCTTTTTGGAAAGTTAGTTGGAGGGTTTCAGTTCTCTATCCCGTTGAAACTGCTGCAAGAAACTTCATTTCTCCTTCCAACGCGTAAATCCCGTGCGCAAAACTCATGCGCAACTGTTCCAATCTCCATCCAAAACTCGACTGGTAACTCCAGTGGGAGTAAACTGTAATATTCTCCCCTATTTTTCTGCTCCTCTCCCAAAAAAAGAAGAAAAAATCCTCTCAAACACCCACGGCAATAGCTGTGGGAAGAATGGAGCCTTTTTTTAACGGAGCTCCTCGTCTTTGAGTCCCTTTCTGTGAACGTGCTGTGTCCTCTGTGTCAAGAGACCTCTCCACAAAAGGGCATCGCCTCAGCGGCACAACACTCCACTGTGTGCGTCTTTACGCTCCTCTGCTGCTCTGCGCTGAATTAACCCCTAAGACACGCTTTGGGTGTTAATAGCGAAATAAAATTTAAAAAATAGAAGGATCGGGGAGGAGAGATATCTACGTAAAAACATCGCAAATACCACAACAGAGCGAAGCCCCGATCGGGTGGAGAGCTTTCTTCTTTATTACAGCCTAATGGAGGGAATTTGAACCGTGACAGCTGGGGCTCCTTATGATTGGATAACACTTACACGCAGCATGAAATGTAAAGTAATGCTGATCACAATTTAAAAAAAGTGCAGCCGCAAAGTTGGTTTTCTTCTTTCTTGATGCTGGGTTAAAAAAAGAAACAAATGGCCGCGTGAAACTTTACCAAATTTAAAAGATCTCTGCGCAAAAAAAATTCACGTATATTGTAAAAGCGTAGGGTAACTTAAAACTTAGCAGATATACGGATTAGGGCCACTGAAAAAATAAAAAACGTTACCTGATTTTTACATTTTATATCAGTTTATTATGAGAAAAAGAATTCTGACTTTAATCTCAAAATTAAGACTTTTTTTCTGAATTCTGACCCCTTTCTTACAATTCTGACCCCTTTCTTACAATTCTGACCCTTTTCTTACAAGTCTGACTTTAATCTACAAATTCTGACTTTAATCTGAGAATTTGGACTGTTTTTTGACAGCTAACAGACATGTTAGCATCAAGCCGTAGCCATGTCTGTTTTAGATACTAAACTAGCTCTGTTGTTTTAATCACCTTCTGCTCTTCCATTAATGTTATGGCATCACTTGGGACCCCTTGGCACGTAAAAAGTCCCCTAATTCTGTCATTTTCCACCAATGTGTCACTGGCCCTCTCAAACAACTCACATATTTGTCAGTGAAGCTGAGTGTTCCCACATTTCTTCAGCCCATCTACATCAAAATCCAAAATTCTGAGATTAAAGTCAGAATTTTGAGGGAAAAAAAGTCAGAATTCTGAGAAAAAGTCAGAATTCTGGGATTAAAGTCGGAATTCTGACTTTTTTCCCATATTAAACTGAAATATTAAAAAACTTCAGTTAACTTTTTTTTTTTCCAGTGGCCCTAATCCTCTTACGTACAGATAACACCACTATTAAGTAAAAAATAAAAATCTACATTAGGTAGAAAATAATATCAGGGGCTTAGAAAACAGCATAAAGTCTTCCTCCTCTCCAGCTCATGTGTGTGAGAGGTGTGTATGTATGTGTGTCCCTCCACTGGCAAATAACTGCATGCAGACCAAAAGTCGACCCCTCCACAGGAAACTGGCGTCTTGTTGCAGGCAGTAAGATTTATAACAATTGCACTCATTCCAGATCCATTTTACTATTCTGGGGTGACCAGGGTTATTTTAGAGGGTTAATGATTTAACCAAGCAGTCATGATGAGTGATGATGTAACTTTTTGCCCACGTGGAATAATAGGCATATAAACCAAACGGCTTTTAGGACATCTATAGTTAGCATAGAATTATGTGGTTTAGGTTTAACCAGTTTAGACATTGCTGTTTTCACACCTGTCATAATCTAAGGTTGTCTAAATGACCAAAAAACACGTTAAGAGCTCTTTTTGATTCCAGGAGGAGAGAACAGACTGAATATTTTTTATGATTTTTTTAAATATATTTTTATAACAAAGGTTTGAGAATTCTTAATGGTGATCAAAATTAGGAATTGAAGGAAATTAAATGCAATTTAACAGTTTTCTTTAAAAGAAATCACAAAACATGCTGCTGGATTTGGATAAAAGCAGCACAAGGGAACACTTTCTGGCAACAGCCAAATGACCAAAATGTAAATCACAGCATTACTTATGAGGGAAGAAAAATGTAATGTTTCAAATCAGATCTAAAAATGGTAAAAACTAGTAACCAATAGTGTGACTGGATAAATAAAAACATCTTGTAGTGCATTGGACAGACTGAATATGTTTAAATAAAAAAAATAAAAAAAACATTGCAACAAGTTTGTATTGCTATAATCCAGTTGGCACTTATAACAATAAGCCAATAAAATCTGTTTTTCAGTTTCCAGCATGAATGTAACTTGGTTGGGATATTTAACTGGGTAAAGCCGGACATACACTGCAGGGTTTCATCGTACAGTGTGAGTTCACAGCTTACAATGTATGTTCTCACACTGTGCGACCCAACGCCCTGATGCAATCTACCTGCTCACACTGTACGTCTAAAAACCAGGTCGGACCCAGATCCATAGTGAGATGGCGCTACTCTGACTCGTCTATCTGGAAACGAGTAAAAGAGGAACATGAAGCTCACTAGAGAGAAATGTGCTGCCTTGGCAATTTGTGCAATTTTGTGTGCTGAAAGCCCTAAGAAGAAAAGGCGACAACGTATTTGAGCATAGATATGGCTGAGCAACTATGCTACTATGGTCTGTCATTTATACAGAAAGAACTCCATTACACTCGCATTCCCGCCATGCTTCTGTTTTCATTTGAGAGGAAGAAGAAGAATCCTTGTTTGCCCACTGAGCGGTTTGCCCACGACCACCTTACGACAGCCGACTGAATTTCAAACGTTTGATTTTCTCGCGACCTTACAATTCCTGATCGGGAGGTGGTCGTGAGAGGTTGATCTCCCCTCATTTCCCCATGTGCACTACACGATGCACGATCAGTCTGAAAGTCGGCCCGATCGAAAAATTCTCCCAAGACTGAAGAATCGGCCCAAAAAGGGCAAAAAAAATCTCAGTCTCAATAAAAACAAGTAGTTGTGTGAGTCAATAAATGTAAATTAAATGTAACACTTGCCCACCTACATTTTTCTTGACAGTTAACCAGATCTCAAAATACAAATGATTTTGAAAGTTAATCTAAATACATCTTAAGCCCAAACTGCCTCTTTACTCTGTCCTCACCATTCCTTTCGGCTTAAACACAAATAAATGACCCTATATTTGCCTCTCTATCACCCCAGAGAATGTGCTGTAAACTTTTTACAAATGCAAACATCTAAAACAAAGGAGAGCTCAGAGGCTCTTTTTTCAGAGGAAAAAAAACAAAAAAAACAAAGGGCGCAAAGAAGAAAGCAGCTGGATCATTTCCCACACAAAAACACCTCTTCCATGCAGATTTTAAGATCAGTCAGTTAATCTGTCACAGGCAGCAACAGCTGGAGAAGAAGGGACTCTTCCTGAAGTAGAGCGAGAAATGTTAAAAACCAAACCTGCAGGCTGGAGGTAAAATGAGCTCATGAAACACTATGACATCTACGTAAGTCTCCATCTGTTGGAAACTGTGTGTATTCATTTTATGATTAACTATATCTTGGAGAGCTAAAAGGAATTGCTGCTGAACTAAAGAAAAAGATCAGAAACAATCGGTACACAGAAAAAAAAACAAATATGGGAGTCAGTGCCTTCCAATATGATCATAGATATAAATTGAGAGAAGATATCGGGGCTCCTCTTCCCTCCACTAGAGACATTTCGTCCCAGCCCTGCATGTTCCGAGCCCGTAACATTATCGATGTCCCCTCACACCCCCACCATGGACTGTTCTCCCTGCTGCCCTCTGGGAAGAGGCTTTGCAGCATCTGATGCAGGTCCAGAAGACTCCAAAACAGCTTCTTCCCAACCTCCATCAGACAGCTGAATGTTGGGGGGGGGAAAAAAAAACAAAAAAAACTCTAAATCATGGCACAGTCTCTGCATCAAACTGACCATAGTAATGCTTTTTTTTTTTTGCACCATGTTTTTTTTCTTACAATGTTTACATTTGATCAATGCTGCAATTTAAGAAATGGAAAAGTCGTGAGAGCTATACAAAATGACAATAAAGTTTGCCTAAGTCTAAGAAGGAATGGACGGGGGCACATCAAGCCACAAATATCAAATATGTGAAGGTGTTATAGGACCCTAGATGTAGTAAAATTGACCCCAGAGTACCAAGTTTGTGTTACAGAAGTTGTGGAAATGCAAAGCCCAACTAAACACAAATTTTTTGATCATGTCCTAAATTACATAATTTTTGCGATGAAAGTATAAAAGGCTATAATATATCAGATTTTTCAATATGTTACCCAAGTATGCAACTGTTGCGTGGATAACACCAGCAGTAATGGTCCAGATCAATCATACCTTTTAGATGTGCTTTTTACAGCAGCCCTTAAATGTATAACAGTTAAGTGGATGCAACCAGAGCCACTTTCCTACAACTCGTTCAAAAAGTAAGACAGCAGCACCACATAGAGAAAATAGCTGATCTTTTAAGACCTTTAAAAGTAACCTTCAACCTGTGATGGAATAGGGCTGATGCCTCAACAAGACCCATTTAATAAGCATACCAAGAAATCTGTCTGACCTTATTTTGATGCTGAAACTGTATTGGTCTGAAATGCTGAGTTGAAATGTATTCTTGAATGAAAATATTCACACGCGTCACATTTATTGCATGCTTATGTGTATAGGGAAAAGGACACAATGACATGATTTATAAATGTTTATTTTAAAGACGCTAAAATAAAATATTTAAATGCAGAAAATCAAGCCTTCCAAAAAAGAAAATTAATTTGCAAGATCAAAACCAATGTCTCTCCTCCCTTTGCAACACAGCACCACTGCCTTTTATACATGGCTGAATTAACAAATCAGGTGTGCCGAATGACCACCTGATGCATTCGAAACCATTCCAGCAGCAGCTCAACTGGACATCAGACAGTGCCGTCACAGTAGTTAAAGATTCATTGAAATCAAAGTTTAAAAAAGGGACTCAGCTTGGATTAAATATTAAAACATTCCACTTTGAAAGCAAAATTCAAATATAAAAGATTTTCCTATTAAGTTAAACCAATTAACCTCACTTTAGTTAGAGCTTTCCCTACTGAGTCATAAAAAAAAAAACTGTGTCAAATATCGCAATATTTCATTAGACAATATTTGTTGCGATTCAAACAAATACTTATAAGAGAACATCAATGTTGTTATCTTACTGTTATACAACCTCTAAAAACTCCAGGCAGTAGTTGGTAGCACAGCGCCTAGGAGCCTACTTTACAGATGTTCTAAACCAGCAGAGCAACTGCAAGATCTCATGACGTTTTCCAAAGCTATATTTTTATAATAATAATCATAATATATTATTTTTGTTAACGTATCGAGATTAATAGCATTATAACCCTTG